GAAGGAAGGAAGGAAGGAAGGAAGGAAGGAAGGAAGGAAGGAAGGAAAAAACAGGTGTATAAATGGGAAATGACACATATATATATAAAGGATCAACTTTAGATATAATGTTGGGCATTGGCAGAGGTACAAATGAAGACTATAAGGTAGAGAAGTTGAATTAATTCACAACACAAAATTCCCCAAAGCACACTGGAAAGGAGAAATATGCAAGTAATTGTCAGTTCCTGATTTAAGAACTATAACATTTGACTGGAAAATACTGTTGGCATCTATAGATCCCTTAGGAGAGGAAAGCAGACAAGGGATCCATGGCAACAAAGCCATGATTCCTGTAGGTGTCTGGTTCTAGATTTTCTGTAGCTTTGCAATATATGTCAGTTGTGCCAGTTACATCCTGTTTGTTTGGAGTTGTGGACTGCTGCGCTTCTGCATTATGCCATAGTTCCTTCCTGTCTTGTTCTCCACAGACATCTACAATATGAAGCACGTCATCTGAGAAATCTCAGTGCAATCAACCAAGGGTTTGTTTTCTTAAGTCAACATGTAAATGACACAGTGTACTTAAGCAACTTGAATGGGTACATGGCAAACAAGCAAATAAGAAAATGCAGTGGTGCCAGTACTTAACATGATTTCATTTTTTCCATAAGACTAATCAGTAGACATTCAGGGCATATGGACAGGAGAGCAAAAACCTGTATGAGAGCAAAGCTGAACAGGAACCGTGCCAACCCTCCCCTAAGCATAAACCATTCATTTAAGGGGAGCATCAAGTAGAATAGAAGTGAATCCAGCTCTCACTGCTGGATTGGATGCATTTAGAGTGACTGAGATTTGATTACATGGATACATAGCTATTAGAGAGTCTGGGAAATTCATGTAAAAAGTACATTCAGGGAAATCTTATTTGTTTTGCTACTAAAAAAACCTTGATTTATAAGTAGACATATTCACGACTCTCAAAAAGAATGCAAATGACCAGCCTTCTGCAAGGAATATAAATCCTTCCATTCCCCACCATCCAGTCAGAGCTGAAGAAGCTTCTTGGATGAGAAGCTAAACGTCTTCAAAGAAAAAACAAGCAAGTTCAGTTGCCTCCTGAAAAAGCACCTTTGGGACAACCATGGCCTGGATTGATTGAGAATCTGTACAGACTTTTAGACACATTAATGTTTATTACTTACATCTGCAATAGAAGTAGAAGAATAGCTGCCATTTTGTTTTCCTATCCACCTCACAAGATTGTTGTTGTAGAGAAAATAGGAGGAGGAAGCAGCATTACGTATCTTTGCCTCTTTGAATTACTTATAGAAGTATAGGTAATCCTTGACCTCAATTGAATCCAGAATTTTGGTCACAGGCTGTTGCAGTTGTAAGTCAAGTCACCACATGACTGGACTTGATATTATGTTTATATTATTATGGTTTATGGATATTTTTATGATCTTCTTGCTTACAGTTGTTAAGCAAATCACATGATCACAAATGTGATCCAGTTGCAAAGCTCCCAAAATGTGATCGCGTGACCACAGGATGGTACAGCAGTCATTAGTTTGAGGATGGGCAAGTAGTAAAATTTTCAAGACCTGATAACTTCTAATGGTTGGTAAGTGACAAGTCATAAATCAAGGACTATTTGTAATAAAGGTGGGATTTAAACAATTTAATAGTAAAAAAATAAATTAAAAACTGGAAGGCTGCAGACTTGGGCCATTTCATGGTATTCTGAGGAAAAAATGTGGGCACTGCAATAGACTTGTGTGATGGCTGGGCTGTAAAGAGAAATAAAACGGGCATCCAATCAAGTTGACAGAGATCCAGCAAACAAGCACTTTCAACTATATGATGGATAGGATGACAAAAACAAACCGAGTCTTTCCAATTTGTTATTCACAACATATTTGTAACAAATTAAAGTTAGGCCAAATGAGACAGAATCTGTTAGTCACTCACCGAACTGGAGAGATGGGCTACCGCTTTGACATGCAGTAACTCCTCAAAGATCAGTGCAAGTTCTTCATCTGTGCGTTGGTTAGGACTGGAGGAGAAAGACCAAAACGAAACACACATTCTCCCATCAGTTGACATTACATTGCTGATCTCAGATCTACGCATACAAAAAAACATCCTAAGCCCATAAGATTACATTCACAGCTGTGTGTAGTCCTTCTCTCTTCCCAGGAAGAACCAAGACCTACTCAAAATATGCATGTTTCCTTCTTGACAGGAAGTCAAGCTTTCTTTTAGCTTTCTCAGCCATTCTTGGCTTTCAACACAAATATTAGGTCCATTACCGAGAGCCTGCAAAGCTTAACTCTGAAATATTGAGGGCCATAAATTCCGTTTTAAGAAAGTAAGACATGACTATGACTCTACATTGTACTAAGGCACAGAAAGAGCTTCCAAAGTTTGTCCGTTAGACTTTTTTGAAGGAATAGAAAATTAGATCTTCTTGTGGTTCAGCAGTGTCTTAATTTCTGGCACCATTGCATGAAACTGTTGTTTCTTCTGATGTTTTTTTGCTGATTTAAATGTATGTACAAAAATACATACAGAGGCATATATTTTTATAAGGGATCACCATGGCAAAGTGTTTGCTTCACTTGCAGAGGGGCTCCAGTTCAATCCTCAGTGTCCTTAGTAATTTTTTTTCCTTGAATAGAGTCTATAGAAGCTTCTTTAATTCTGTATGAATTAAATACACTGAATCCAACAATCATTATACTCCGTTTTATAGAACTATGATCCATGCACTAACTTCTTGAAATTTTCTTTCTTGTTTTTCTTTTCCTGGCTGCTACCTGATTCAATGCTTACGGTTTGCGTAGGATGGTGGTGAGCAATGCTGTCGGGCCCAGCTGGGTCAGCAATGTCAACCCCTCCAGTAGCTCCTCTCCATCCCTGTCTTCAGCACTTGCTTCCAAGGCCACAAATCGGAAGAACTGAGCATCTCGGTCTTGAAAGTAGCTCTCCTGTCGTACTGCATGAACAAAGGAAGGTGATTCCAGGCCATAAAGAAGGAAATAAGGAGGATCAAGTCAATAAACAGTTTGATTCCACTCCTAAGATCGCAAGGAAGATATTCCACCCTATCACCATCTCATTTACCTCCTTACTCAAGGTAATGAAAATGATCTGGATTTACAAAAGGAAAAAAAAAACCATTTGGGGTATATGTGGACAAAAGTGCCCAGGAAATGAATTAAGACTCAGCCATACAGCCCCCTTATACTAACACGAACAACTCCATTTATCTGTTTCTGAGGACAGGGCACTGGCTTCATCTCACAGACCACCCACTCCTGATACAGGCTGCAGCTGGTCCAAGCTCTTCCAGTTTATCAATAGATTTTGCTGGAGTAACCGCGGTATATATGACAGAGAGCAGAGGCTCCCAGTCCAGGAAAGAGCATATTGGCCCACGAGATGAATTTATCCAAAGGTCCCCTCCTACTTCTCAAGCAATAGCTGCAAGTCCAGGAGAATCCCCAAATTGTAAGCCAGCTGTGTGTGGGGAAGTCTACTTCATTGAGAGTCAGAAATGAGACCTTACCAGATCAAAGAGAGTGAAAAACCCAAAGCCATTCCATCTTGCGAGGGTTGAATTCTCCCTCCCCCTCCACCAATATTGTCACAGCCTCCAAGCACTAAAACAACATCTGAACAGCTGGAATATAATTCTACACCTGGCTATCACCAGCATACTGCATTGTCTGTGTCACATAATATATGTGGTATATGCATAATTTTGTATGTATGTATGTATGTATGTATGTATATATTTATTTATTTTGTCGTGCTTATATTGGAGTTGGTGACCCTTTGAGACTGTATGCAATGAAATTTCATTTTAATTACGCCAATTAGCGTACATTCAAAGTGACAATAAAGTTATTCTAAATTTCTATGCCATTGAATAACCACATCCAGCAGCTTCATATAAATATTAAAAAGGAGCAGTGAGAAACTTGAACTCTGAGACCACAGATATGAGAGGGGCCTAGGGTTAGACCTCTCCGCCACCATGACCAATACTGATTGGAACCCCAAAGTATTTCCAGAAAGACCAGCACAGTCAATGGTATCAAAGCTATCAAGAATTAAAAGGACGACCAAGACAAATTTACCACTCCCATCCTGGGCTTCCAGAAGTCATCATCCAGTGTGACCAATGCCATCTCAGTACCATAGCCCATCCTGAACCCTAACTGAAGAGTCCAGTTAATCCACTTAATCCTGGGCCTGTCAGTCTTTCTTGAAAAGGGAAGGTTGCAGCATTCACAAAAGTTGTCAAAATGATTGGGTCCAAGGATGGTTGTTTATTATTATTATTATTATTATTATTATTATTATTATTATTATTAAAACATTTTGAATACAGTATATTATCAGGACTTATCACTTACAGAAAGCAAAGAAAGAACAAAAAGAAATATTAACATATATACTAATAACAATAATAATAGTATAACAGAATAATTTTAACTAGATTTTCTCGTTATATTAGTTTATTTGTGATTCTATTGGTTATATTGACATATTTATAATTATAAACTATCTTTATATTTAATTCATACATAGCAATAATCTTTCTTCATCTAATTTCTACCTCCCATAGAATCTATTCCATATGAAATAATATTCTGTGTGTTCTTTGTCCTTTATTTTTAATGTCAATCTATCCATCTCTGCAGTCTAATATTTTCCGAATTACATCTTCATCTGATGGAGTGTTCTCAGTTTTCCAATATTGTGCAAATACAACCCAAGGATGCTCTCTTAAGAAGGTGCAAACTACTGTTTCCCTCAAAGCAGGTGGAACACCTCCTCCAGAAAAGAGGCATTAATCAAGACTTGGATCCAGAAGGTGGGTCCAGTACACAGATAACCAAATGCATGGCATGAAATAGAAAAAGCTACAAATAGAGCCAAACTAAAAACCCTTCTGCTGGGTTTTCTGGCAATGCAAATGAACTTTTCAAAATCAATCAAGGAGAAAAAAAAACAGTTATCATACACAGTGAGATCTCTATAAATAGAACTCTCTTTTTCCAGGCCACCCCAGGCTACAAAAAACCAATTTCTGATTTAAAAATAACCTGGGTTGCTTGCTGAGAGAGCAGGAACACTACCAGCTTTGTTACAGCAGTACAATGAAAGGAAGGCTGTGGGAGGGACTTCCAATAGAGGCATGGCAAGCTAAATATGTCTTCAGGAGACTAGAGAAGATTAACACACACAAAAACACTGAAGTACCAATGACTAGACCAATTTTTCCAAATCAGATAAGGAGAAGATGGGAGATCACCCACATGTACTCTGGATAACTGTTCAAGAGGAAATTGGTCTAACAAGGGTCTGAGTGCCAGGAAACAAGGGGATCAATAATGAAGCTCAAAACCACAGCAGAGCCTGTGGAACGACATTCAGTTTGCCAACCTTGCTTCTAATAAGTTACTAAGATTGCCTACTTCGTTATCTTAAGGCTATTAGGTATCTTATCACCTGCTGAGTTTTATCTTCATTTCTGAACAAAAGAAAAATTAACTGTAAGTTTAAGAATTTAAAAGAATATGAAATAAATAACAAAATGCAAAATAAGAATTTGAGCCAAGAAAGCCATAAACAGATTAAGAATAAAAAAAAATTGGATTACTAAAGCTTTTACTATAAAATTTTAGAACTCGCTATATAAAATAAACAGCTTTTCATGGGAGCCAGAATCATTTTGTCTACTGTAAGTCATAATAGATTTAGAGACCTTATGATTTAAGTTGGATGCTAGACTGGATTAAAAATTCCAGGCAAAAATGAAAAAAATACTCCTGCTTTTAGTTTTGATTAGGATTGGGATCTACAAAATAAAACACTGTAACATTTGAAATATTAAAGAAGGTTGAAGAATGGGTCAGAAATCAATATCAGCAGTGTTGTCTGCTTCAATAGGTTTGAAAGGAGGTAAATGAAGGAATGACAGAATGTGAAAAAAATCTTGCTTGATATAAAAATAATGGAATCCAAAATATTGGATAAAAATGCAGATTGCAAGATAGAGAAAGTATGTAAAGTAGAAATACAAGTGACAGGATCAGAGAGTGACCCAGATAGGAATGCTTTACTGGATATCAAAAGAAGATGAATGAAGTTTTAAAAATTAAAAGTGAAATGCAAATGATAAACTAAAATAATGATCTGAATGTCTTATTAGATTTACAAAAGAGACTTCTTAAAACCTCAAACAAGCCCATGCAAAGGGACAAAGAAGAATTGAAGAGATAAAAATCCCACAACAATATTTCAAAGCACTAAAAATTATGATTTTCGGAAATAAAAGGAAGCAATATGAAATTGATTTTGATCAGGGTTTAAAAAAGATGCTTTGTAAAGTTCTGGCACTGCTTTACAGACTTTTTGTTGACATCAGGGCTGAAAAGTTGGTGTCTTATGGATTTGCTTATAGATAAGCAATAGCTTATGGGAAGAAGAGATATCTGTGTGTAAACCTATACAGAGTGAAGAGCTTCAAACTTGTTTATACTTGTGAATAAGATTGGAAATCAAGTCTAGATGGATGGATGGATGGATGGATGGATGGATGGATGGATGGATGGATGGATAGATAGATAGATAGATAGATAATTCTTTTTCCTTTTCTTTCTTTCTCTCTTGACTTTCCCTTTTCTTTCTGAGTTTGGTTTGTATTCATTTTTATTACTGTAATTAAAATCAGAGAGGGGGGAGAGAGAGAGGGAAAGAGAGAGAAAGAGAGAGAGAGAGAGAGAACTTTCTATGGATATATTTTTCATGGGGGAAAGACCACCATAGTTTCTTCAAGGGATTACCAAGCGGTCCATAGTACCTTTTCTCTTTTAAATGCAAATTATTGCACAACCCTTTGCCTTATAGCTTTGTTTTATCTCTGGAATTCAGTCATGATAGAGAATGGGAATCAAATTATGGTTTCCAGGAAACCAAAGCTAAGAATACATGTTTGATCTGGAAAGGAGATTTGGGCAGCACTGCCCCATTTATAAATCTAATCTGAACTGGGTAGAGGGGTTAAGGGGTCAGTGAGCAAAAGAATATTTAAGATTGGGCTCAGTAATACCTCCTCAGACACTCTTCAATGTTCTTTTTATATACTGTAAAGCAGGGGTGGGATTCAAATTTTTTAACAACCGGTTCTGTGGGCGTGGCTTAGTTGGTGGGCATGGCTCTGTGGTCATGTGACTGGGTGGACATGGCTTGGTGGTCATGGTTTTGGCTGGGTGTGGCCAACTCAATATCACTCACATCGAGGCACGCATCTCCTCGCCTGGCTTCTCATGACTGGGGATGCTGCAACAGTCATAAGTGTGAAAAATGGTCATGTCACTTTTTTCAGTGTCACTCCACTGAATGGTCACTCCACACAAGCAAAGTACCAGCAAAGGAGGGAGAAAAAACTTCAGAGAAGTTCCAGAGACAGGAAGTCTAGTCCTGCCAAGAATGTAACAAGGGTTAACGGAGAGGCAGTTTCTGTAAGCAACATCAGAATGTTTCCTTCCTGCCTTCCTTACAGGATTAGGCCAGTAATTTCTTCTAACAACCGGTTCTCCGGACTACTTAGAATGTTAACAACCAGTTCTAGCGAATAGGTGCGAACCTGTAGAATCAAACTCACGTGGTCACTGTGACATCATGTGACGTTGGGACTTTTTCTCCCTTCGCTAAACCAGGCATGGGCCTGGCCAGCATGTGACACATCCAGCCCAGGGGCCAGGAGCTTGACAGCCCTGCTGTAGAGAAATCAGAGCCTACCTCAAGAGTTTCTCAAAGCAAGCTCCCTTGAGGCAAATGAGAAAAAAATGAGTGCTGGGTTGATGACCAGCATGTACCTCTTAGTGTCAGTAGGGAAGAGACTGATGTCACAATAAGATATGTAACTGGCTTTGTGACCTCATTGCCAGACCAACCAATCAAGCAACCAGCCAATTTCTCACAAAAACAAAGATTCTGAGGAAGTCTTTCAACCTTGGGAACTTTTAGAGCATGCTGGCTGTGGAATTCTAGGAGTTGAAGGCCACACTTTTTAAAGTTCCCATGGTTTAAAAACACTGCTTGGAGACTCCATTTCCTTTGATTTACAGATTGGATTCTATTTTGTACCTTGCCTTTCTTCCACAAAATTCAAAAGTGGATATCCTACTGGTCTTCCACCCCAGGAACTGATGGATTACATCTGTTTAATTTCAGCAAGGTTAGTACATCATGTGTCTTTGGATTATGCTCAGGCTTTGTTATTTGTTGGCTTTATAAAAATATAGCTAACATCTCACTAACAAAGAAAACAAAGAGTGGAAACAAAATACACCAGGAAGGAAGGAAGAAAGAAGACATAAAAAGTACAGGTTTGCTGCACAGATTTAGATTTCCTTTGGAAATCATAAAATGAATGAAGACATGATATGAATTCCCTATACCTAAAGGTTAATGGCATGTCTCCTCCTACTTTTCCACCATTTGGGGCAAACCAGACAGAAATGACCACTTTCACCCACACTTTTTAATATCTGCGTGGGAACCCTGGATGTGAGCTGTGAACAGAGATACACAGAGTAGTACATAACACTTGAGCACAAATTGGTTTTCTTTGCAGTCAACATTCTTTTGTTTCTTAACATTGTATTACTATGCCAGTGCTGGTGAAATAAAAAATATAAAATTGTAACTGCTTATGGTCATAAAAAAGACACACACATATATATATATTACTTTTGGTTGTATTTTTTCCACTTGTTTGTTATAGCACTTTTTATGTGTGTTTTGTTTTCTCTTTGACAATGCATGTATCACTATCACTATTATTATTCTTTTTTTTTCCTTATTAATTTAAAACGCAGTAAGTGACTTACAACAGTTCATTTAGCAATTGCTCAAAGTTACAATGGCACTGAAAAAAGTGACGCGACCGTTTTTCACACTTACAACCAGTGCAGCATCCCCAGGGTCATAGGATCAAAATTCAGCCGCTTGGCAACTGACTTGTATTTATGACGGTCACAGTATCCTGGGGGGTCACGTGATCTCCTTTCATGACCTCTGACAAGCAAAGTCAATGCGGAAGCCAGACTCACTTAAGAACCGTGCTACTAACATTAACAACTGCAGTGATCTACTTAACAACTGTGTGCAAGAAAGGTTGTAAAATTGGGCAAAATTTACTCAACACCTGTCTCGCTTAGCAACAGAAATCTGGGACTCAGTTATGGTCGTACGTCAAGGAATATCTGTAGTACATAAATATAGAATTCCCCACTAGGAATTGTACTGAAACTAGGAACATAATAATACGAAAGTTCTCAAAAAATCTAAAATAGCGATTAAAAATAAACCTTGGGTATAAAGGGCGAGGATCAGTGGTGGGATTCAAAATTTTTACTACCAGTTCTGTGGGTGTGGCTTGGTGGGCGTGGTGTTGCTTGGTGGGTGTGGCTTGGTGGGCATGGCAGGGGAAGGATATTGTAAAACCTCCATTCCCACCCCATTCTTAGGGGAAGGTTACTGCACAATCCCATTCCCTCCCCACCCCACTGACCTGCTTTCCAGCTCTGTTCTCCTGTGCAGGGCAACCAAAGAAGACCCAGCCCATCAGCTAGGACTCGGGAGGCAGAGAATAGATGGGGGCAGGGCCAGTCAGAGGTGGTATTTGCCGGTTCTCCAAACTACTCAAAATTTCTGCTACCAGTTCTCCAGAACTGGTCAGAACCTGCTGGATACCACCTCTGCTGAGGGTATTACACGACCAATAAATATCATTAGATAAAACAAGGAGAGAATCAAAGACTAGGATTTTCACTAAAAGCAACGCAGATAAGAGTATTTTGCAAACTGCCATATATTTTTTTTCTCACACAGAGAGTGAACTTACCATGAGCCAGTACTCCTTCATCCATCAACACTTGACAAAGCCCAAGAGCCTGGCTACGGGTCTGCACCGAAAGTCCTGCACTAAGGAGTGCATCTACCAACTCCTTCCCAGAACAACACTGCCTGAAAGAAACACAAAAGGACAGTGATTTCTAAATGTTTTTGAGATCAAGATAACTAAGAGGGCATGTTTCAAATTCCAGGTTCACTGATAAAGCTTCAGGTCAATGTTTCTCACATTTTCTGCAATCATGGACCACTAAATAAATATTTGGAAAATGCAGGGATCAAAGAAATATCTCTCCTCTGAGCATGGGAATTCTTTGGAGCTGAGTAAACTAATGGTTATACTTGTGTTTGTGCATAGCTTCATGTCCCTCCATTTTAAAGAGATCATTGTGGTTTGTTACGGACGCTACTGTCCCTTTTTATCCATTGTTGGGGACAGAAAACAGGTACATATGTTACTGAAGTTTCCTGATTAGGTCCCTTAGAAGAATTCCAGACATCATTTGTTCCCATAAGTTGGCAAAAGCCCTACTTTGTGACTCCCAGATCAGAGTTAGCATGCTGGGGAGCAACAGAAGAGAAGACTTCTTGCATTAAGCCATAGTTTTCCATGAAGTATCCACTATGGAATCAACATCTTAAATTAGAAAGATTTGGCTTTACCAGGAATGGAAGGATAAAAACAGAGTGTCACATTATTCCAGGATTTATCAACCTTTAAGGTACACGGACTTTAGCTCTCAGAATTCTGCATTCAGCACCTTACTCCACACTCCCAAAAAGTCCAACGTTAGGTATTTTTGAAACCTAACGTTCTAATTCCATTTCATCTCTAATCAGGAAACTTTAATCAATTCACACGAGAGCATCAGAGAGAGTGGTGCTATTCTACCGATTCGGCTCAGTTCTGGCGTACCAGTAGCACCGAAGAGCAGCAGAGACTGAACCGGTTCTCTCTGATGAGCTGCTGTTGGGCCCACCTGCCCACCTGGGCTCCCATAATGAACTTTATTCCCTGCTTTTGAAGTGCAGCTGCTTTTCGTGGCACAGCACATTGCCACGGGTCAGCGGTTGAAGCTACAGAGAGAGTGCAGGGTTGCAGGAGATGAGAAGGAAAGCCTCTGCGTGCGCGCAAAGGGCGTGTTTGGTGCATGCGCAAAGTGCACGCGCACGTACAAAGTGTGCCCATCAAGCCACGCCCACCGAATGGGTGGTAAACTACTTTGAAACCCACCACTAATCAGAGAGCAGGTAGTATAAAACCACTTTTATATACATGCATATCCAATTTTAGGGCACGTCAAATTTTTCAATTTTCAATTTCCAACCTTTAGGGGTGCTCAAAAGTTGAGGCAGGCCTTGGGGATTGTAAAGATATTTTGGTTTCTTTCATATAATTTAGATGTGCTTGGTAAGTAACTACATAAATATTATAAGTTTTTAAAGATTTTGTTTCATTATCCCTATGATAATGTAAATCTACAGTATATATACAGGTAAAAATGAATGCAAATAAATGCCCCCATAAGTCACACCGGTCAGAGATCCTCTCTAAGGAAGATGGACCGTTAAGAAATATAAAATATAAATAAAAGATAGATAGATAGATAGATAGATAGATAGATAGATAGATAGATAATGGCTTCTTAATGATTGCAGAAACAAATAATTATTATACAAGATTCTGCAAGGTTTTTCTTCCAGAATAGCTAATTCAATGAAAACTGAATACTGTCAAGTAAAGAGTTCCAGACTTGTGCAAATCTACACTCAGAAGCCTCATTGTTCTCGTGTAACTCTTCCCTGGATGTTTTGCTTGTGAGGGCACTCATAAAATCTTTAGAGAAAGTGGCAATGTCATCTACCTGTACCTCATTTTCATTCTGGGCCGGGGGGGGGGGGGGGGGGGGGGGGAACAGAAGTGCCAGTTGCTTTTAATTTCTTGCTCCAGGGGCCCACATGTATATGTACCTGTGAAGCCGGAGGTGATGCTTATGATCACGGATTAAATCTGGATACATGACTACCAAGTGTGCGCAGAGGAGCCTTCCTGCTCTCCGGATTTTGTTGGAGGAAGCCTGCAAAATAAAAGGCAAGAGCGGCTACTGCACTTGATCTCATCTCCCAGACATTCAGTGAAAGTGAAAGTCAGTGAATACTAACTTGGGCAAGAGGACAAAGCTGCTGGCCATGCCTTAAGAAGTCATCTCTAGCCAAAGCGTCAGCAGAAACACTTGCACTATATTGACAAACACTTCTCTTTGCAAATACCCATATTTTTCTCTCCATAAGACACATCTAAGTTTCGAGGAGGAAACGAAGAAAACAAAATATGAATCTGGAGCGCCGTCTCACTGGGCATGCGGAGCGCCGAATGTGGAGCAGTAGTGTAGTGAGGGAAGGAGGTGGAGCCTGAGAGGACCACAGATAGGTGTCCTCTCATGTGCCAGCTCTGCCTATTGACTCCTGCACTCCACAGATAGGTGTCCTCTCATGTGCCAGCTCTGCCTATTGACTCCTGCACTCCGGCGAGGTTCAGCACCTGTAAAAGGACCCCGCCACCATGGCCCAGCTGCGATATTCGCTCCATAAGACGCACAGACGTTTCCACCCACTTTTGGAGGGGAAAAGTGTGTCTTATGGAGCAAAAAATACGCAATCTTTATACAAGTAAATATAATTTCTTTTTTTAAAACAATGAGAAAAGCAACACTAAGCTCTAGAATTGTACTCCCACAACGGAGATGGCCTGTCTACATATCATCTCCCAATTCATATCAGCCAATAAATGTTATTGCAACTCGCACTGCCTCTGATTCACATGGTGTTCCATAACCATCTTGCTTCATAGCCATCGGTACAGGTGGTCCTTGGCTTGCAACCGTTTGTTCAAAGTTATGATAGCCTTGGAAAAAAGTGACTTATGACCTATACTCACACTTGCAAGTGTCGCAACACTCCCACGGTCAGTGATTGCAATTTGGATGCTTGGCTACTGCTAGCTTGCATTTATGACTGGTTGCCAATTTCTGGGAAAAGGTGGCATAAAAACACCCGTTGGGGAAGCTGGATTTGGTTAATGATCATGTCATTCACTTAACAACTGCAGGGATTCGCTTAATAATTGCCATAAAAATGGTTGTAAAGCTTGGTATGACTCAACTTATGACTACAAAAACTTTAGGACAGAAATTGCAATCACAATTGTGGTCCTAAATTGAGGACTACCTGTAATCTTATCCCTTGTGTCTTACAGGCAGGGGTGGGATTCTACCTCGTCGGACTGGTTCTATAGAACCGGTGGTTATGATTCTGCGCAGTTAAGAGAACCAGCAAATCATGCCACTGGCTAGCCCCACCCCTCCTCTCCCTGCCCACTCACTCCTTACCTGGCATGCACGCCATCCAACTTGCCTCCTTGTGCCTTCACCTAATTTTTGATAAGTTGCTATTTTTCCTTTTTTTTCCTCCAACCATCACCTGTTCTGACCATCAGCTGTGATATTTAGATTAGCTAGAAAGCAGAAATCGTTGGATTTCTTGCTTTCTAGCTAATCTAAAAGCAGAGCTGAACCTTCCTTGGGACTGGAGCTTCTATTTTTCAGTGCAGACTCAGGCAATAGATTGCAGAATGGTAGATCTCTGAGTGAATCTGTGATTCTGGGAGCAACTCAATCTGCCTGCCTGCTTTGCCTGATTTTGGGTAAAAGTTACTTTTTTTTTTATAAAAAATTCAATATTTACATTAATATTTACCATATTTATATACAAGCCACACCCAGCCAGTCATGTGACCACCAAGCCACACCCACAAATTAGGCCATCCCCACAGAACCAGTTGTTAAGAAATTTGAATCCCACCCCTGCTTACAGGTGCATTTAAAAGTGACTAAAAGCATGTGGGTGGTAAAATATTTTTAAAATTCGATAAAGAGATCTGTATTATCTGTATATGAATAAAGCTAGAAGGGACCTTGGAGGTCTTCTAGTCCACCCCCCTGTTCAAGCAGGAGAACCTACACTATTTCAGAGAAGAGACCAAACAGTCACTTTTCTGAAATAGTATAGTGTCTCCTGCTTGAGCAAAGAGCTGGACTAGAAGACCTCCAAGGTCCCTTTCAGCTCTATTCTATTCAAATTCAGGTAATTCCTATAAAAACATGTTTTCCTGACCTCAAATGCATTTGTTGGCATCTCCTGAAAAGCTACTTAAATCAGAGTTGTAAACAAATACATTTTGAGCTCTGGTTATTTTTAAAAAAAACTCTCATGTAAAATTTAAGCAGGTTTTCAGGAGATGCAAACAGGTGGTATGTGGGTGTTTTGAAATGCCTGTTCTGACTTTGAATCCAAAAAAATGTGCGACCTGAATTTGCATAATTTTGTATGTTCACAACAAAAACAGCAATCAAAAATTAACAACCAGGATTCCTAAATATAAATGTTACATTCTTGTGGTCAACAGAATCAGTAAGGAACATGAGATGCCTCCAGCTCTTATACTATGAATAAATACCTTTACTAATAAACAACTTAAAAAGTTAAGTAGTATTTTCATGTGATCACATTATTCTACAAGGACCAACTTATTTTAATAATTAGAATAGTTCACCTAGACAGTGGAAAAAATAGGTCAAATACAAAATGAACAAATTCAAAGCAGAATACAGATCTGAACAAAGGACTTCCATTAGTAAATTCGTTGCTGGCTGAGCTGGTTACTACTATGTGTAGCATTACAGTGAACCACAGAGGTCCACCTTCCCAAACTTGGAATCTTCTGGAGATGTTGGCATTACAACTAACAAAACTGCCTGGAATGGGCAACTTTTGTAGAGAATACCTATTTAGAGATGGTGGTGCTAGACCTCAAGGAATGAGTGTTATATTATAGCTGATACTTTTTTTTTATTTGCACACATGTCATATTTATTACCTGCTTTAGGTTGTGGCCAGGCACCAGAGTTGATTCACTCTCTGGAAGAGGAGTCTGGAAACAAAAACCAAGACAAAAATCAAGGACATTTCCTTAGACATTTTACAAAGTGAGGAAGGAACTATCTCTTACATTTGTTAAGTCCAGGGCAATACACATAGTATCCTCAATTCAAAGGAAATGACCAAGAGCCCAGTGTGACATTTATTTTTATGTTATGTTATATGTAATGTTAGTATAGTTCCAAGTCTTATTTTAGAATCTAAACCTGATTCATTTTTCAGTATAGCTACCTACCTATGGCAGCATGTGTGCATTCACACAAGCATAGGCCAGTTTTAAAGAATCTCACAGCACTTTCGATCAGTTAGTTCTGGATTTCCAGAAAATTCAATTATTTTCTACAATAATATGCAGTTTAAATGAATAACCAAACAGGAATCATAAATGGTTTAAAGAAAATATTTTGACTTGCGTCTTCTGACTGCTTTGACGTAAATAAAATGATACTGTAAGCAAATATGGCACTTTAAAAAAGGAAGAAAGGAATATTCCAAAGACTGGCATTTACTGAAGAAATATCATTCTTGCTGCTTTTTTACGCCAAAGCAGCTGAAAATGAACATTTATCAACCTATCTAGATACATAGATAGCTGTACCTAAATACATGTGTAAGCCTGACTTTGCAAGCAGATGGAATCAAAGGGAATGTAAAACAAAAAATTGTTTGAAAAGGAGGTGAGAGGTCATGTTTAAAAAGATCAAATAATCCCAGTCAAGTGAGTGTATATTCTTTGCATTAAAGACAACCATGAATAAATGCAAACCATTTTCTCCTAGGAAATAGGCTTAATCTATATGAAGCGGGCAGGATTTTGCTCTTCCATGTTTTTCCGCAATTGAAAAATAAATGAAATACAAGTTTGTGGAGCATCATGAGAACTACAGTTGATTACTAATAGTGTAACATCCCTTTAGCCAAGATAGATGGAAATATTTATATAAGCTGCTTTGGTATAATAGAATGTGTTGAAAACATGTAAACCACCCCCTCTCCAAAAACTAAAAAAATATCAAAGCATTTTTTATCAGTTTTTCTTGTTCCCTTCCTTCCACACCCTCTTCTACTAATTGTGATTCACACTGATTTCCAATTGTGTGACTTGCAAAGGAAGAAGAGTCCCAGTTCAGATCTTCCTGCAGCTGCAAAGCATATACTATTTTGCTTATGGAGGACAAGAGTCATTTTGAGATAAAATCTATGCTGCCCCTCTCTCCAATTAACATTTGATGAGGAAGGGTGTTATATTACAGCCATGGGTCAGGCATAGAAGCTACAACGAAAAGCAACTTTGAAAAGTAAATAAAGGTTTGAAGAGATAACTCGAACTCCCATTTCACCCCCAAGAAAACCAGCACTTGTAGAGGCTTTATTATTTATTATTTATTATTCACGTACTCCTTCCAGACCCACAACATAAAGAGATAAATGGATGGGTGGATGCTCAATTGCTACAACAGCTTTTTCAAATGGCATGCTGCTAGGCAAATCAGACCGCATTCATTTCTGATTACATAAACTGGAAAAACTCTCTCTCTCTCTGTGTGTGTATTTGTAGTCCCTTCTTAAACTAGCATGCTTTGCCAATAGCCCAGGAGTGGTGACTTGGTGACCCTGCAGATGCTGCCAAATGTCAGCTTTCAACGGCTCCAACTAGCATGATCAGTTCTGAAAACATCTGGAAGGATACAGGTTCTCCAACCCTAACATACAGTAATGGAAATGTGACAGGATGTCACCAACGAATGCTTATCAGGAAGATAAGGGAGTGAAGGAAAGAACATTATTATATGATCATTCAGGATCATATCATGTATATTTGCTCAAGGTTATAGTGTTACATCTGTGTGTAGAAAATAAAACCACAAAGAAAATGTCAATATCCCTGTTTCCTTGTGGATACCAAGGATGTATAGTCTGCTGTTAATGAAAAATATTATTACCACAAAGATGTGAAAGTTTAACATGAAGTTCTGGTGTGACTAGTCCTTTAACACATTATTTGAGGTAATATCTCCTATTTATAGAAGCAACCTTTCCTTCAGCAATTAAACTTGCATCCAAAAAATGTCAAACTAAGCCCCACTTTCTTTGGGATGCAAATCAGTACATATCAGGAAAAGAGCAGAGGTAAACCGACATTCAACAGGCCAGTTTCCTTATGGTGAAATAATGATGAGTGGCTAACTCAGGCAGCAAAATAGGAAGGAATGGCATTTTGATATTTTTTTTCCTCTCAGCCCCCTCTTGGGCCAGCTGTACGTAAACAGAAGGAATGAAATGACATAACAAGCAGGCAGCAAAGTACAAGAGATACTCCCTTTGACACTTCAGCAAACTGCAGAGTGGCTTGGCTGGAATGCACTGGAATGCTGAGTGCTTTAACAAGAGCCCACGAAAACATTTCCATAAACACAACTGTTTTCCTCACATTCTTTTCAGTAGCTGCTTCAGATATGGATCAGCTTCCCACATGGACACGAAAGACCAGCATTTTTCTGGCACAGATGGCCAGCTTATATTCAAAACAGAAGAAGAAACCAAGAAAGAGAAAGGGCAGTGGAAGTTCAGATGGACATCTGGCAAAACACAAACGTGAAATCAGAGATAAGGCAAACACGGTTACCGGTTACCGTGGAATAAAAACCCATTGAACACAATGTGTAGTAACTTATTTCAAAATAAAAATGCATAGGAAGGCTTTGTATGATTTGAAGCTGAAAACAGCAGGCAGCAGCAGGGTTCACACAACCTGCTATAAGGCACCTTATATAGCAATAGCAATAGCACTTAGACTTATATACCGCTTTATAGTGCTTTACAGCCCTCTCTAAGCAGTTTACAGAGTCAGCCTATTGCCCCCAACAATTTGAGTCCTCATTTTACCCACCTCGGAAGGATGGAAGGCTGAGTCAACCTTGAGCCTGGTGGGATTTGAACTGCCAAATTGTAGGCAGCTGGCTGCAGAGGTAGCTTGCAGTACTGCACTCTAACCACTGCGCCACAGAGGCTCCTCCTATATGTGAGTTCAGTCACAGCATCTTCTTCCGCAAGCTATTATTAAACATTGTAAGGAAAGCAAAGTAGCAGGTGTGCTACTATGGAACTTTGGAGCAGAAAGCACCTTAACATACCATGCTGGTGCCAAGAACACTGGTGTCATTACCAAAACTAAACTCTGTTAGCTGAAGAGCACCTTCTAATTAGGTGTCCAATAATCACACTCAACCAGATGATTTACTTAACAACTGCAATGATTCACTTAACCACCATGGCAAAAAAAAATCATAAAATCAGCCATAACTCATATAACCGTCTGCTTAAGAATGGAAATTCTGTTTCCAATTGTGGTCACATGTCAAGGACTACCTGTATCTTACTATAGCAGGGGTCCCCAAACTTGGCAACTTTAAGACTGTGGATTTCAACTCGCTGGCTGGAGAATTCTGGGAGTTGAAGTCCACAAGTCTTAAAGTTGCCACGTTTGGAGATCTCTAACCTATACAATCCTATCCCAGCACTTCAGTTTAAAAGAAGTCAGGTCTCAACTGCTTTCAAAGGCTAAAAAGTTAGCGGACTGTTGAATCCCTGGTTTACTTCCAGGACCCATCACTAAAAATAAAGTGGCACGTTCTTTCTTCAGCCCCTCACAGCCACCTCATAAGAAGCCACCAGCGTCCACTGTTGCTCCCTTCTGTCCTCTCCACCTTGGCACAGCAATATATCCTATTTTCTTTTAAGCTGGGGTGTCCAACCTTGGCAACTGTACGGCTGGTGGATTTCAATTCCTAGAATTCAACTTAACTTCAACTCCCAGCCATCATGCTTTAAATCGAATCAGACTCAGTTCTCCTCTCTCTTTCTCCATTGAATTCAATCCGATCCAACATTATCTATTTGTAGATGTAGCCTTCACTTAACAACAGAAATTGGGACTGGGAACTCCGTTGTCAAGCAATGACATCATAAATTGAAAAAACCGTATGAACACGTTGCTTAGTGATGGCAGTTCTGGCAGACCTGGTTGCCATCATTAAGCAAGACCTGCACAGAGTCGCTAAGTAAGGATCTCACATGACTATTACTTCCAATTTTCTGCCAGCTTCCCTGTTGGCTTTGTTTGGGTAAAACCAGTAGGAAAGGTTCAAATTGGGCTCACCTGACCATGGGATACTGTAATATCATAACTACAAGCTGTACCCTACGTACCCGGGTCATAGTCACATGACTATAAGGGCACTGTGCCAGCTGTAAGTACAAGATCCATTGGTATAACAACCAATCAATCAGTGCCACTGTAAGATTGAATAATTGTTAAACAAGTGGTCATTAAATAAGGAGCCATGTGTATCCACCCTTCAGCAGATTAAAATATATGATGATTTATCAGAGAAAGGTAGTACTACAAAAGAGCTGACAAAATAAACCAATTAAAGACATCCACACTTCTAGCCTATCAAAGGCCATTAAAACCTCTTTCCTCTATACATTTTTATTTTTGCCACACCTCTTTCATTATCCTTATTCCAAGTCACCCACATTCCTAAACACTCTCTACATACAACATCCTTTACTTGATGTCATTTTCTTTGAGCTTCCTTACTATCTCTTCAGGGTGCATAATGATATAGCTGTAGCTGTACTTTGCAATGTTATTTGTCCCTAAGTGGATCAGCAGGAAAAAAAAACTAATTTTCAAAGCCACAATCCCTGATATTGGAAGAAAACACAATTCATGAGGTAATATACATTTGTTTTGGCTCCTCTTGGTCGTTGGCCATCAGCTGATACAATTGTTCTTTGTCTCCTATTAAGCGTTGTCTCTCCTTTCCCCCCCCCCCCTCCATAAATGCTCAGAGCCTGTTTCTTTGGTGAGTATTTCAAATTTGTCTCTCAATTCCTTTGGTGCAAAATTTCTTCTAATTGCTTCTTGCTTTTAGTTGCTCATCCAATGTATTTGTCCCTTTGTTTTCTTTCATGTGATAAAACTAC